CTGTAGTTTAATAAGAATTGATGTAAAAAAGTGATGCATTGCCATAGGATTTTCAAATCACTATATTTTTTGCCTCCAATTTCATAGTCACAGGCAATCGGTGTATAGTCAGCGAAAAAAACTTAGCGTACAAAAAATACATATAAATTGTGTGCACTTTATGTGTGCATACAGTGTGTTATGGATTGCTATTCACACACCGAGTCTCTAGCACTTCGGCGAAAGACTTATGTATTATTCGCTATAAAAAGCGATAAGAAGTCTATAAAACATATTTTGTAAACGAATTTATCATAAACTTCTTGCCAGGAGAGCGGAGAGAGAGAGAGAGAGAGAGAGAGAGAGAGAGAGAGGATTTATAGTAGGGGAAAGGGATGCCAATGAAGGGAGCGATGAGTTATACTTAAAATATCGCTGATTTCCTAAGAATTACCGAATAATTTGTGTCCAGAATATTCTTGGCGCACAGATTATGTCTTAAAATGATGTATAAGTTTTACAAATTGCGTGAAATTTATTTTGAAATTTGACTTTTAATCCGGAGTTTAGTTTTAAAAAGTTTTTTTTTCTAATATAGATTGCATTTACGATAGCATACAGAATATTCTGAAGATCTATGTTTTAAGTGGTTTTGAATTCTATGCTTTAGGCCTCCCTTTTGCTTATATCGTGATTGCGATTCATTATTATATATTTTAAATTGAATTAATGTTAAGAGCAAGAGTACAATATGTCTAATTGTATACATTACCCGGTACATCTCTTACCTGATACTATATAAACAAAAATAATATCAATATAAGTTTGAATTTTGAATATTTATTTAGTTTATTGGCATTACAATTCTTTTATCAATGTATTTATTGAGTATTTTATACTAATTACTAAAATTATTAATTATATGCTTGCTAATATAGATTATTGGAATGCAATAATTTATTTCTGAAATTAAGAATCTAATTATTTAATTAATTTATTAATGAATCAATAATTTAATACTGTACTACAAATGTAATGTAAAATAACAATAATAATTGTTTGGTAACACAGTACCGTATTTTAAATGGACTTTAAATTATTATTATTATAAATTTTTGTTATGAAAAATGTGTGATGGTAAATAAATAATAAGATTAATCATTTGTTTATAATTTATACTCGTAATAACATAATGAAAGTAAATCATAAAATTTATATCTTGAAGTAATTAATTTTTTTGTATATTTGTTTGGTTAAAAATTCTGTAATATCTAAACATTTTACAAATTAGCACCAACTAAAAATTATGTTTATGTTTAAAAATGTGTTATATTTTTATTTTAACTGACTTTAATATGATTTTTTGAAGTGTTTAAACAAAATATAATATTTATATGATTTAGTAAAATATTTATGTTTAGTTTCACTTATATTCATATAAATTAAAAATATGTTTAATAAATATCAAGTGTTTAGAGAGAATAGATTTATTTAAAGCATATTTGATTTAATTTAACATGCAAACTTTGACAAACATAAAATAAATCATTAAACCATATAAAACTAAATTAAATAATCCTACTACAATTAATACACCTACATCTAACTGTACTAGTTACAATAAATTACTTTACCATACATTAAACCAAAAATATACCACTTTTATCTACCATTCCCTTGGAATCGCAGCGTTAGCTAACTGTTCCACTGGATGTCACAGTATGTGTTGAATGGTAAGAGGGGAATGGGATCTGAGCTCGAAAACTGGTCGCCTGGATAGATACGATACGTACGCAAAAGCCTTGCGCCAACCATCGCCGCCAATAGGCTGTGCTGGTGCTGTTGGTGGCGGTGGTGCCGGTGCTCCAGAGAGTGTGTAGAGTGTTGCCCATAGCTTGTGTGCTGTGTGTGTGTCTGTCGAGCGATATAACCACCCGGTGCTCAGAGCTCTGGTAGTGTGTGTTTCTGTGCGTTTGGCAGCAGCGGTGTTATGTTGTGTACCCTCTCACTAGCTATACTACTATCGCTATTCTCCAGTCACTAACTCGTATTCATACACTCATTGGGAACAGTAGTGTCTCTCGAGTCTCAGTCTTACGCTAAGTCTCTGGAAACAAAAAGCCTAACCAATCGGTCCGATAGCCAGTCCCTATCCGACCGCGTATTTCGCTCAGTAGTACCGCTCTCTCGTTGTGTGCGTACGTCACCCCACGAGACCCAGTCTACTGACATATAATTGTTTTAATTAGTGATCCGATTGAGAGATACGGTGCGAGAAAAAAGTTGTCGAAAATATTTTGCGGCAAAAAAAAGTTTGCGAAAACCCAATTCTCGCGAAGAATATTCCGGGAATAATATATTCGCGACTATTATTATTAATTATATAAACGGATTATACATTTGACTGTTGTTGTGAAAGTTTGTTTTATTTGTTTGTTGATTGTGTGCAGTGTTTTTTTGTGGGATATATCTTAAAGAATATTTGACAAAACTTATCAAGCGAATTTGTTTGCGAGAATATTCTGTGTGACAAAACACCGCTAATCGTATATAAAGTGACAGAATATTGTCGACCAGAATTTCCTAGCAGAATATATTGGGCAGTGATTGTTGTTTGTGACATAAAAATATACTTGCTAATTGCGTGAATTTAGAAATATTGTCCGGACTACAAGTGCGATATTTTGTTTGATCGGGGCCTACATTCTAGTGAATATATTCACCTGGTTTGAAAATATTCAGCATTATAATTGCAAATCCATCGCAAATTATCAGTAAAAACACACAAATTATTGTGCTTTTCAAGTGATTTGTGACACAACTGTCCGCAACTGTATATTAAACTACAATCTCTGTCTCTGTATAACAAAAATCTAGTGATCAGTCTATCATTGCCTAATCGCATACCGGTGTGAATAAGGCGATACCTACTACGACTAGTTAATTGCCAAATATATATTAGATATTAATATATAAATCTCAGCAACGACAATAGAGTAGTATATTGTCAAGATTGTTTGATTATTGTAAATTTGTCGGTCACAAAATAAGCCAGCAAAATTGATTATCAAATGGAAACCGAGTCGCAAACCGTTAGCAATAATTCTGCCAATTCTAGCGATGGTGTGCCCCACGACTCGCCCTATGACCAGGACTTGTAAGCCATATATCAATACATATAATATATATATAAATATATCTAAATTTAATTTCCACTCAAACATAACATACACGATAAACACTGAATGAAATTTATTTGCACTTAATTTTCGTATTTATATATTTATGCACATGATGTTTATGTATATTATTTGTTGTCTCTGTATATTTATCGTTATTAACCGTTTTTTACGGGTACATACCAGTGCCATGGTAAATATAAGTGTGCATTATCACACATTTCTCTGACGATTACATTAACAAACAGTTATATATCAGAAAAAAGTTTTTGTCTCCAATACTAACAAACAAATCAAAACTCTATTAATACCACTACTCTCTCACGAGTCAGTCCTTATAGCTCTCTCTCTCTCTCTCTCTCTCTCATTCTCTCTCATACTTTCCCTATCTCTCCGAGAAAATTGTTTGTAATGTTGTGTTTGCTTTTAATTTTAATCTCAATATTATTTTTTCCCATTCCCTGCTCATTGACGATCCCTTTCCCCTCCGATACCACCACTCAAATGGGTTCTCAAATTCTCGCACCAAATATCTGTACATATATTCTGCGCTCAATTCTCGAGACTATTCCTCCAATATATATATGTATTATCCATGTGTTTGAGGCACTGATTTGTATGAACACATAGTATAGTAGAAAAGTTTTTTCAAACAAAAATCGTTATATTCAATACAATTTGCACTCTTTATCTATCACTTGCCCTCTCTCTCTCTTCTCTCTCATACTTTCCCTATCTTTGTATATATAAAAAAGTTCTCTCTCTCTCTCTCTCATTCTCTCTCATACTTTCCCTAATCTCTCTCTCTCTCTCTCTCTCTCTCTCTCTCATACTTCCCATATCTCTCCGAGAAAATTGTTTGTAATGTTGTGTTTGCTTTTAATTTTAATCTCAATATTATTTTTTCCCATTCCCTGCTCATTGACGATCCCTTTCCCCTCCGACACCACCACTCAAATGGGTTCTCAAATTCTCGCACCAAATATCTGTACATATATTCTGCGCTCAATTCTCGAGACTATTCCTCCAATATATATATGTATTATCCGTGTGTTTGAGGCACTGATTTGTATGAACACATAGTATAGTAGAAAAGTTTTTTCTAACAAAAATCGTTATATTCAATACAATTTGCACTCTTTATCTATCACTTGTCTCTCTCTCTCTCTCTCTCTCTCTAACAAAAAACCTTAACATACAGTACGAGAATAAAAATCAATTTTGCTGGCTTATTTTGTGACCGACAAATCAAAACTCTATTAATACCACTACTCTCTCACGAGTCAGTCCTTATAGCTCTCTCTCTCTCTCTCTCTCTCTCTCTCTGTCTCTCCCTTTCCCAATCTATCTCATGCCCTACCCGTGCACTCGACTTCGGTTCCCTTTCCCTCATATATTGTAGTGGAAAGCCTTCATAACTAAATACAATAACTCAAACACTTATCTCATCGCTAGTATCGTCACTATTTGTTTTAATTTTCACTCATTTGGCACTTGTTTTATACCCGCGTTTCCACACATATTTGTTTGCCATGTATTTCCACATCCATGCCCTTTCTGATAGTGAAAATATGTGGTGTGCAATAAAAAAGCGATTAAATTGTAATTTTTTAATGTAGTTTTATATAATATTTACTTTTATTATATAACGAGTGCTTTTACAATAGATACATGCATAATTATATAATTTAATATAAGAATATATTTTAGTATTTATTTATTTTTTGCACATATTTTTGTTGCATGTATTTATTGAGAGGTATAAAGTTGTGTAGACTTTAACCCAATGTCTAACATGAGATCCAAAATACACGTGAATATAATTACACCAAAAAATAAATAATATAACACACTAGCCATTAAATACTATTACATACACCAAAATGTATACGGGGAGATATTGAATGAATATATAACATTTATAATATTAAATATCATGTTTTATTTTGCAACACATTTATATAAGCCGTACAACACTTCACTTGCATCACTTTCCCTCCCTATCCCCTACCGAAACACATGTAATCGTTAGACGTCTTAGACTTTCGCTCTCCGCACATATCTATGAAATTATAAATAATTTTTTCTGTTGTTATTCATATATTTATATATTATTAACACGTTTTGTATGCTTATATTTTCCGTAGGAAAATGTTTATCGGCGGTCTCAGTTGGCAAACAGCCCCGGGTAAGTGTGCCATACAATATATTGTATTAATATATGTATTTATTAAAGCTTAATATTTGTTTAGTGGTGTTTCTTATATATAAGTATTTATCATATATTTTAAATATGATATAAAAAAACTATCGGATATAATATACGGTGAAAGTATACAGCGTTTTGATGATCACAAGTATAGATAACTATCGTTGAGTTTATTAAGGCTTTTAATATATCGTATAAATCACGGGTAATAATAGTCTCATTACTGATGAGAAAACAAGTGAAAAAATAATTTTTTATATAATAATAATAATCTCTAAAAATAGACTTTTATTTTCAGCGTTTATTCGCTGCATATATTATGCGATAGGAAAATATTTTTTCGTATATTTATTCTCGTACTGTATGTTAAGGTTTTTTGTTAGAGAGAGAGAGAGAGAGAGAGAGAGAGAGAGAGAACTTTTTTATATATACAAAGATAGCGATTATATACTGAAACACATAATATAACACACAATAAAACACATTCACAAAAGACTTTTTGAAAATAACTTTAAATAAGAGAGAGAGAGAAATATTTTTGGTTTTCATTCAAACGCAAAAACATATGCAATATTTGGCTCTTATATGCAATTAGAAAGTAGTTTTTGAAAGTCGACTCCGCAGTCACAGACACTAAATATATTTTTTATTAAACTTTTTTTGCAAGTTATATAAGACTTGTGTGTGTTTTCCCCCTCCACTCACCACAAAAAAAGTTTGAGATTTATATTTATATGTAAGAAAAAATTTTTGAGCAAAAAATTATATTAAAAAACACACCAACTCCTATTGCCGTAGACATGTATAGCTATTTTGCACAGACATGTAGTGTCTTATATAACTTACTCCATACCCACTCCAGTCTCCCCTATCACTCACACCATACATAACAAAACAATTGAAGTCAAGGCTATCCGTCGTATATATATATCTATGAATACAAAAGAGAGCACCGGTTCTGTCGGCGATATATATTTCATATATATGTATAAGTTATGTAATAATGATATTATAAGTTATTAACATTTGGGCACTGGTAGAGTGAGCGGCCCCTCACTTTCTCTCTCTCCATACCCATACCATACACTATCGCAAACTTTTCGAGACCATAGCCATAGAGCTATTTGTACGGCAGACGTGAATATCGTTGTCTGAATGATATGATGAAAAAATATATAAATTCTTCTCCACTTATTCTTTCGCCTATTTTGTGGCAAACAATCAAACTCTGGTCCATCACTCACGAGGGGGTAGATCGCGAAGGGGTGGCCCAACACTGGATCTCCACTTTCCCTACCATACTATCTCTCAGTCAGTCAGTCGGCTCTCTCTCTCTCTCTCTCTCTCTCTCTCTCTCTCATTCACTATTTTATCGTACATTTAGACTTCTTGTTTATATTATGGCAGATATATCTGAGAGAGAAAGAGATAGTGACTGAGAGATAGTGAGCATCAATGAACTGCTATATTATGGGCCCTAAACTCAATGCCCATAATATGATAGATTAATTCACACACACATCGCATCTCTCTCTCTCTCTCTCTCTCTCTCTCATCTGATATTCAGTACACTATTCACGATATATTAATGGACTCCATGTATGCATTCATACATATATTTTTTTTATCGCACACTAGGAATACAATCGGGTTTTAATTTACAGATCATTACATTTTGATCGGGCTCTCAATCACCCGCCCAACACACACACACAAAATCTCCCTGTCCCAATCGATTTATACATATAAATTCAACTATACTTTTTTCTTACCCAAACACTCAAATCAATTGTGATCCGGATTTTTTATTTTGATATTTCGCGCACAATAATGTGGTGTTTAGTGAAAAAATATATCACAATTTATTTTGTGTTTGTGATTCCCTTATATAATTCAATAGCGAGAATTGAATTTATATATTATGTTAGCTTGCTTATTTATGTTTGTTTGCATTTTTTTGTCGCATATTTGTGTTGCCGATAGACAGTATACCCAACAACACATTCCCGACACTCAATAAATTGCACATAAAATAGCGTTTCGTTTGGACTTTTAATTATCTATTTATAGCCGGTAATAAACATGCGATAAAAAATTGTTTAATTGTTTTTTGCTTACATTTTAATCTATTGTATAAATTATTTATATTTTTCTTCAAATATAACGATTAGGCTCTCTCTCTCTCTCTCTCTCTCTCTCTCTCTCTCCAAGTGAGAGATTATTAACAAAAATGAGGAAAAATACAATATACGGAAAAAATAAAAAATAATTATTCCTGAAATATTAGCGCAAAAATATGCAAAATAAAAGTCAAATCACTTTAAAAGAGACAATTTTCAACACATTATGCACTCATAGTATTCACTCATTTATTTTTATTCATTTCATTCACTCAATCGATTTCTCTCTTTGCTCTCTCTCTCTCTCTCTCTCTCTCTCTCTCGTATTCGCTCTCAAAAACTTGGCTTAAAATGATTTATACGATTCTTATGATGCGAAAAATGTTGTGAAGCATAATATAAATCAAAGACATTTCAGGAATTGAGAGATTGCTGTACGAGAGAGAGAGAAAGAGAGAGAGAGAGAGAGAATAAGCGTTGAAGAAATGAATAGTGATTTATAGTAATTATATAATAAATAATTAGAGACTCACTCTCCATAAGTATTAACACATATTTTTCATGTGTGTGTTATTCCGTACTACTGTATGGTGCGAATGGCATGTTGTATGGCATATACACGCTTATGGAGTAAATCAATGTGCAATTGAAATGAATGGCTGCCAATTGTGTTATGTAAAGAATATTCTGTACGCTATTGAAACATGCATTCAATTTTTGCCGTATGTATGACCCGTTTAACTCTCGCACACTTCAAAACGTAACATAAATTTTTGTTTCACCAGAAATGTAAATAAATGATACGATTATACAGTATGTGTGTTGTAGTGATTTGTATATACAGTTCACTGGGAAATGATATATACATTGATTTAGTGGTAGGAATGGAAAGAGAGTGAAAATATTTGTGTATTTGTGTAATATATCTCAAATAATTATCGCCACAAAAATAGCTCATTTAGTATGCATAATAGAAATTGTAATAATTTTTAATCCAAAACGCTGTGTGTGTATTGCCTTGGTGTATTATATCCGATTATATTATATATTAGGTATTTTTGTATATTTACATAATACCTATTATATAGCATTAAGACATAGCCATTAGGCAAGTGATAGCTTAGTGGGAGTAAGTGGTGTTTCCAATATCTCTCTGTCTCCCTTTCCCTTTTCGCATCCCTTTCCACTGGAACTCATATGTGTATTATATGTGTATTGCAGAAGGCCTTAGGGAGTACTTTAGCAAATTTGGTGACATAACCGAAGTAATGGTTATGAAGGATCCCACAACTAGACGATCGAGGTGAGTTTTTGGCCCAATTTATTTATTACATTTATATATATGCTTCTTATATATGTATTACATGATTATTGATAAGTAATCATGTGTATTGTAATCGGATTTATATGCATAATGTGGTTAACGTAAGCGATAAGCAATACATTTGATGCAATGATTTGTGTTTTGTGTATTTGCGGCTTATTTAGTAAATTGCTGGCTGAATTATTTATGCTATAAATAGCCGGTAAATTTTATATATTATTATCATACTATATTACGAGAGATGTTTACTCTGTTATTTAATTATTTAACTAGTAACTAGTAGCTAAATATAATATTTTAAACTGATTATTAGTTTCTAATTGGTATATACGTATTGTAAATATATTATATTTATACGATATATTATATAAGCGGTATTTTTCTACAACTATCGCAAAGTATTTTATTTTTTAGCGCAAAATATTTGTCGACAATATTTCGTTCATTCAATTCAATTCAATAAAATATGAATTTTCTTGATTTTATTTGATTTGTCAAAAAAAACACATACTATGGAGAGATAGTCGAAAAAATAATATAAAAAATTTCTGACTCTCATAGTCAGGACTGAAATATATTTTTTTTATATTCAATTTATCGTATTTTATATATTTTTTGTTTTATTTGTGAATTTTTCTACACTCGTATGCAATACTGTATATATATTTAGAGAGAATTTCTATTTTACTTTTTTTTGTTGATAAAAAATATTTTTGACAGAATTTCTCTCTCTCTCTCTCTCTCCTCGTATTATGTCTGTTATTGTCAATCGTGGCGTAAGCCTTGAAAAACGACTGTCCATACAGTTTTGGCCGTCAATCCAATGGGCAATCGATTTGTGTGTTTGCGAAACACAAACACACAAAACATAACCAAAAATATTTTTCAGATACAAACACATAGAGAGAGAGAGAGAGAGAGAGAGAGAGAGAGAATAGGGAAACAAATTTATTATACAATATACTTATTATAATAGTATTGCATATGATATATACGAGTGACACATATAGTGAACGTACAGTTAGTGTAAGAGAGGGGAAGGCATTAAAATATTGAATTAGATTTTATGGACAATAATTTTTATGTTTATAGTAATATTAAAGCATTTTTATGATGGCTGTGCCATTGGCATCGGGTCTCTCTCTCTCTCTCTCTCTCCCGGCGCTATTGCCATCACTTACTCACTCACACACTCTATTGGCATCACATTTATATTAGTGGAGAGACATCCAGTGATAGAGAGAGAGAGAGAGAGAGAGAGAGAGAGAGAGAATCGCTAGTGACTACAGTAATAGACGATTCCAATGCCGCACATATAGCTGAATGACAGTGCAGTGCATGTGTGTTAGCCCTAACATTCTCTCTCTCTCTCTCTCTCTCTCTCCCTCTCTCTCTCTCTCAACCAATTTTTCTGCTGAATTCGTGTATTTATCGTTCATCTCGTTTTTTGAGGCCATATATTGTGTGCCATCACTACTACTACTATTACAGTATACACACACTCTCTACCAGCTCTCTCTCACCCAAACTCCGGGTGAAAAAATCTATTGGCATTTCTCTGGCCATGAAATACAGTACACATCCATAAGTGAGAGTGTATTGAGGGGTTAGAGGATAGTTAGCGAGAGAATAGGAGAGAGACTGGAGAGAGACTGGAGAGAGATGTGCCAAACAGCCAGTGCTATAACAGTCATATCTGTAATGATGTGCACCGGCCTTGCAATTGACGTTTGCTTTTTTAACAGAATTACTATTTCCATGCCTTTCCATCGATATAATAGTCAGAGAAATATATATATATAATATTATATAAATATCTATTCGTATAATACAAACGATACGAATCTCTCTGTTTAGTGCAGCAAATGTTATATTGGTTTAGATTTTTTTTTCACTCAACGTTTAGTATAAGCGTTGAGTTTTAGTTGTATGATATATATTTGGTTTTCAAATGCTTTTTAATGCAAGTTATTAAACCATTGTTTGCCCGTAATTATCGCACAATTTGTCGAAAGCATTATATGTCTGTATGATTAGTAACGTAGATATGCGGATATAAACGTCGTCTTATAGCCTCTCTCTCTCTCTCTCTCTCACTGTCTCTCTCATCATCTCTCGAAAATAAATTATTAATCGAGTGAACCAAATATGGAAAGTAAACAAATAATATAATAAAAATATATATACGGTATAACTTATACAGTATACTAGCTTATATACTGCTACGATAAAGTCTTTTGTTTGTGTATTTGAAATGCCAGTTATAGTTAAGGGATCTAATTGTATGGCATGGTTTGGGCATAATTTCTCATACAAACAATGGTTTACCAAGTTTTTTATATATAATATGTACGCCTGTGTTGTTGAGATGAAAATTAATTATGAGCTTAACTATAATGCAAACTCAAAAAATATATTAATAAATTGTCTGTCAATCGTAATGTGTGTTAATATTCATAATAATATTATAATGGAGTGAAAATATAATTTATAATTTATAAGTAGTTTTGGAAATAGATTATTTTTTAAATATATTATTTTTCTACTTAATGTATATTGTGAAATTTGATTTAATGATAATAATTGTGAGGGGGAAAATATTTTTGCATTCAATTAACGGTTAAACTTTTTTTTATGTCTGGTATGTTGCGACTGATATTCATAAGCAATTTTGATGCAAATGTATTATATTATGCAAAATATTTTCGTAGCCTATGTGTCAATCAAAAAATAATCATTTTTAACTTTTAAATATATTTAATACCATGCATAAATACTATTCCAAGCGTTTATAAATAATTAATATAGTTTGCGAGATATATTTATAACCAAAAAAGTCGTAAAAATAAAATAAAATAATAAAAGTTTATATAACAAAAACAACTAAAACTAACAAAATTTACTATTTTATAGCGAATTAATTCAATAATAAAAATACATATGATATTAAAAATACGACCATAGTCAGATATTCATGCGATGCCATACAGACACTCGTGTGTCTCGTTGGGAGTGGTCTATGGGGACAGTTAGCCGTAATATTTAGCGGTAGGGTCAAGGAGACTATTTAGCTTATTAAATATTTATTTAATACAATTATATTTTAGTTTTCAATTCAAAATCATTGCCAAACGCTATGAATGTATGCATCTCTATATCCGTATCCATGAAACCCTTGGTTATGCCCCTGACATACCGTTCCTTAGCCGTTGAATGCATGATATATTCAGGGCATCGCCTGCGAGATGTCTAACCCAATGCCTATCAAACAGTGAACGCAAAGGATTTTTCAAACATTTTTTAATCATATATTTTATTTAATATTTTTTATATACATGCATATTCTGTATATTCATATTCTCTTATATATTATATATTTTTGCTGCAAACCATTTGCACACATACTCTGTCTGTATGTGAGTCTGACATACAGTGTGTGTCTGTATATAAGTTATACCATGGCTTGTGTTATATACAGAGATTGAATCACTTGGGGAAAGGCATCCATAGGTTACACATGAATGACAATTGACGTGTGATGTGTGTGTATGTGTGTGCACTCGCTTTAATACATACAGTATATATTATATACCGTATATATATACACACACAATATATTTCGTATATTAATATATGAAATTCTGTTGTATGTGTTATATATATAATATTTTTATGCCATATATTCCGTAGCATAGTATTGCGAATATTGTAATATGCAGTCTCAAAAAATATATTTTATATATACCTAATGTGTTATACAATAAATGAATGGGAAAAATCTTGTTATTACTGTTCCCTTTCCCCATCGCCACTACCGTATCGCTGAGTGAAATATTATATATATACATAAAAAATACAATATATTGATTGCTAAATTATTTCCACTTTAAAATATATTACATATCAATGGGTATGTAATTTTGAGGGATAAAAATGGAGAAATAAAAATGTAAAACTTTCAATTACTAGTATAATACAAATATGATTGTGTTATATACAGAGATTGAATCACTTGGGGAAAGGCATCCATAGGTTACACATGAATGACAATTGACGTGTGATGTGTGTGTATGTGTGTGCACTCGCTTTAATACATACAGTATATATTATATGCCGTATATATACACACACAATATATTTCGTATATTAATATATGAAATTCTGTTGTATGTGTTATATATATAATATTTGTATGCCATATATTCCGTAGCATAGTATTGCGAATATTGTAATATGCAGTCTCAAAAAAATATATTTTATATATACCTAATGTGTTATACAATAAATGAATGGGAAAAAATCTTGTTATTACTGTTCCCTTTCCCCATCGCCACTACCGTATCGCTGAGTGAAATATTATATATATACATAAAAAATACAATATATTGATTGCTAAATTATTTCCACTTTAAAATATATTACATATCAATGGGTATGTAATTTTGAGGGATAAAAATGGAGAAATAAAAATGTAAAACTTTCAATTACTAGTATAATACAAATATGAAATATTAAAAATATAATTATATAAAATAATGGATGCATTTGAGGGGCAATGCATTACAATTGTATACTAATATTCATCCCAAACGATATACACACTGCATGTATATATCATGTATAATAGGTATACATACAGAATATATACAGACATATCAAACAGAAAATTTTTGGTCAATATCTTTAGATATAATTTTATTCTCAATGCATTCAATTTGGGAAGACATGTAATATACAACAAATATAATATATACAGATGATGTATACATATCTATATTGCTATTGAGATATACATACATATAATGCTCTCTTTTTACTGAATTAAGTTAGCGATTAAATTATGGCATTATTGCCGCTTCACTGCTATTATAATGCAATACTATTACACGACTCTCTCTCTCTCTCTCTCTCTCTCTCTCTCTCTCCAATGTCTCTCTCGTGTGTGTGTTACAGGATTTGCATTCATTTTTTCGGTGTTGCGATCATATAATTTGTGGATCTCTTAAATCTGATGAGAGAATAGTTGGAGAAAATTTTTGAAACGCCGGCGCCCCTCCGACATGCCTACCCCTCTCACAACCATACATACACTCCGAACACATACCCTTCCACTGTGTGTATGTGTCTCTAATTCCTATTGTTTTAAGCCATTCCGTTGTGTATAATCTGTGCCTACGATACGATGATTATCGACAGTCCCTATCATTATTAATAGATTTTTGGACGTGTTTTAAGTTTTTTATAATTTCCTTATGAATTGGTATTAAGGCTTATAATTGAATATAAATTTTATACGAATTTTATAACCACTTATAATTGGTATTTGTCGTGAAAGTTATGTTATTTAGGCACTAATTCTCTGTATATATCCCTCGCTTATTCTCTCTTAGTCTCTGTTTTCGACCGTAATTTTGAGTCAAATCTATTTCGCAGCGAAGAGACTGTTGTGTTGTGTTTTGAAAAGTGTTTTTCGCAGAGAGAGAGAGAGAGAGAGAG